CCCTAGATTAGGCGCCAGTACAATAGAAAAGGTGATAATTTTCACACCAATTAGGCGCCAGTCAAAGTTGAATGTTTGTGTAAAACCGTGAATTCCCCATCTGGCCGACGTCCGCCTAACACTTGAGCTAATCTTTTTTCCCCCACAACACATGCACAAAACTAACAATACACCGTACAATCTCTTGAATAGGCGTCAGAGAAGAGTAAAATGCCTTACTTTGGTTCTAAAATAGACGTTACGAAATGTTGAAAAATTACGGTCAATCAAAAAAAAACTGTTCACATGATAAAAAAAATACTCAGTATATTTAATGTAATATGCATTTATTTTTTTAATTTTCTTGGTAACGAAAAGTATATTCTAAAAGACGTTTTAAATAAAAACAAAAACAAACACGAATGCACTGCTTAGTAGCAAATGATCACTGTACGGTAGTGCAATCCGGCCATGCTGCGGTTCACAAGTGAATAACTTACTTGTTTTTAAAGTGTTGAAATTGGTGATTATTATTCAGTGGTGATTATAGTAACGCACGAAAAATAAATCAGTTGAAATTTTATGAAATGCAAGTAAAATTCAACTTAGTTTCACCGTAAGCGAATGATTTCAGTCACATGTAAACGGCCGATACGATATCCGCCATATCTTTGAACGCACACGAGACTTGTTTATTAACCGGATAGGTCAAGTCGCTAATTAACCAATCAAAATGCTGGATGGTGCCCACGTGTCTGAATTACCATAGCTCATTTAATATGTTAATGACAGTTCAGCGACCTCATGGTAAACGCAACGCGGAAGAGATTTACCGATAATGTAATGCGATCTTTTGGCTTCGATTTCCATGGGAAAACGGCATGATTTTTTTTTTAAATCAAGAAATTATTTGTTTTAGAGAGATAAACTGAGCATTTGAAGAATAATTTAACATTGTTTACAGTGATAACAGCTCATTGTCGAAACGAAGCTTACCCATTCACGTTAGTCACGATAAAAATCATTCACTTGAATAGGAGTCCAGAATTATTTAAATGTCCGAAAACAGAAGCCGAAATATTAAAAAAACAAAAAACAAAAACAAAAAAAACCGCGATTTCTTGATCTCATTTTATTTTAAAAACGAAACTGCCGTTTAACGGCCAAGGGTGAATTTACGGCAGAGTATGGTACATTGTATAGACAGGATCCCTCTGATTGTAAGGTGACGTTACCGTAGTTCCGAGTGTGTGAAAAAATTACTGACCTCAATTAAGCGCCATTTGCAACAAAGTTGCCAAAATGTGACCTCAAATTAGCGCCAGACAGAAATGAAAATGTATCAAAGTGGCGCTTATATGAGGTATTTTACGGTACTATTGTTTGATTTTATTAGTCATGTGCATTAGAATTTGTGTGTACGTGAGCCTGTAAATTTGAGCACGCCCACACAAGATCGCATATCCGAACAAAAAGCATGTCCCCCTAACAGTACAGATAATCGATGTTCTACTGTATATGCATTCAGTCACCAATAGTTCAAAATAATGTAAATGTGACTGACAGTTTTTCTTGATTTAGGTATTTAAAAAAATACATGCAACACACACATGTCTATATAGAAAGGCTTACTTACAGTGACAGCATGTCTATGTGAGATAGGGTTGATAAGTGGATCAAAATAGAAAGCTGGTAAATCAGGATCCTCTGTTTTGATGAATACTACATTGGGTGTATGATACCTGTAAAAATATAATATTTGGTAAACTTTGATCTTTTATTGCTGCAAAGTATGCACTCAGATATAGTACACACAGTGGTACCGACTATTACTATGCGTTGTTCAATACCCCTACTATACTGTCTTTATACATAGTTTGCGGTTAGTAATCATATTATTATCGATCTTTTTTATCTAACAACTATGTAGAAAACCCAGAATTTAGCAAAATAGTGATTTTTTTTAAATACTTCATACTCATTCCATATTTGGAATTTGCATTTCCTAACAAGGCAAGTTTTATAATAATGATCAGTATTTCACAATGCTTTGTGACTGTGAGACATTGTCAGAACACAATGCCACAAGCAAATCTAACTGAGCTGCAATAGAGGGCACTATATAGATTACTACAACATGAAAATATACATACCATATGAGATGCACATAGTGTGGCAGATTATTGTACAGATATGGAAAGGCTATTTTGTACTCTGTACGAATCTGTTGACGAATGATGATCTTGTTGACATCATTAAACTCATTCCAATCTTCATCTCTGTTAATAGAAACCATTGCACATTAGTTAAAATAGTTGGGAAAACATTAACAATTATCTAGGCTTTATTACTAACAGTAATTTAAGGTAGCGAGACTATTATTTGTGTTGAAAATTACGATTTTCACATTTATTTTCTAATTGATGAAATGCACCATAAACTTTCATATGATAAAGTCAATATAACATAGAATGTCATGTAAGTTGGTTAAAATGTAGATTTTCTGAAGGGAAGCAAGCAGCCTCAGTAGTGTTTTCCAAAATCAACACAGGTTTAATCTGTGTGCCTATAAGTTTCAAAGATAAACTCAAGACAAAGCAATGTTAGGATGTGTTATCAGTAGCTATCTGATACACAATGAGTGTTTCCAAACATTTGAGTGGTTTGTCTCTGCCCCTGTTTGTTTCACAGATTAGTCATTTGCATATGAATGTTTCAGACACAAGTCACACAGCCACTGAAAACAAATCATTGATTTTGGTGTATTCATATGCCGAATTTATCCATATAGCTATCCCATTCTTT